GCCCTGCCCGGTCCATCTTTAAGATAAAAAAGAATAGGCTCTCCTTCTTTCATAAGTATTGCTCCTATACCTTTCCAATATCCTCGTGGGCTATAGTAAATTTTATTCATTATTAATTAATATTGATGTTTCTTTTAATACGTCTCATGACGATCGTTGAATCGCATCAGCGTTTTGACATAAAACATTCCCTCTGTAGTCGTGGTATAGGTATATAAATCTGGCTCCAGTGGAAGTGAGCAAGAACCATCATTACCTTTACTACTAATGCTCTTTCTACATTCATCGTCATGTCCTGCTTGACTGTATTGAGTGAGTGAATATTGCTTAACGCCGCATCAGCAATTTTGCAGCTATTCACGGCGAGAAATGTCTTTTGTGTAATCAGATAGCACCCAATAGAATAAAAGTGATGTTGAAAATCACGAAAATCTCAGTCATGTATCACATTCAGAGGTAAAAGACTGACTGTTCAGGTAAAAATCTATATTTTATCATAGAGCTTGATTTCCTTTAAATACGCTAAAATCAAGTGATTAGAAACTGTGGTAAAAAGTTCAGATAAGGTACGAACATTACCATAAAAACGTTGTCTGACAAGTGCAAAATCAACACATTCCAGCAGAATGTGCTTCATAGTAAGAGGGCTATGGCAAGGTATACAAAAAGGTGGATCTTCACCCTTCAATAAATATGAATGTGTATAATAACTGTGTCCAATGCGGCATCGCTGCAAAACAACTTCATCATGACGATATAAACCAGAATGTGCGTGACCACCAATCAGTGGTTTGATAGCATGAAGTTTGTTCATAGTCTTGGTATTCCAACTTTTTTGCCAATGGTCATTCACATATTGTCTGATGGAAGGTTTTAGATCAGAATATGGGAAGTTTGTGTTGGAAATTGGTTTATTAAGAGCAGCTTTTGCCGAAGAATCTGCTTGACTGTATTGATTTTTCCATCACAAGAAATCAATATTTTAAAGTTTCATCAATAAAGGATTCTTTTAACATAGGCTCTCATTTGAGTCATGGATTTTTAAAAGAAATTGAATTAATTGATACATTGTGATGATTATTAACTGAGATTGTCAGGGGCTGTACCCTTAATGGGGGTTAAAGTAGCGTAAAATTATTGTCCCTATGAGAGGGTGTGTAAGCCAACGTCATTCAAAGTATTTTATGTCTATCAGTGTTTTAATCGTAGAATATTTGTTTGTTTTAATCTTTGGCTAAAGCTTCTCCATAAGTCCCCATGGTCCCCAGTGTGGAGGCCTACTTTAGTTGCTGGTGATCAATAGTCCATTTTTATAATGTCTTGTCATGTACAGCAATATCCTTTCATGGTACCCTTCTAGTTTTATAAACATAAATTCTACTGTCCGTTGTGGACAGGTTCTTATCTAGTCTGATTATTTTATGTATAACATTTGATAATCACGATGTGGCTTAAATACTGCCGATGTAACGTTTTTAACTCACTCACTTACTCATGCTCTGTAGACGACTGACATAACCTAATGGGTAATAGATAATTAATTTACACATGCTTTATTTATTTGCTTTATTATGTCAACAATATGCGCGGTCATTCATTCCCTGCACATCCCTGGCGTTTCGTTTAACCATAACTGCAATTCCCCGCGGTAATCTCTCGTCGTAGTGGAACAAAATAAAGACGAAGATTTCCAAGATTCTTTTCAATCTGACACAAAGTAAGCAAGTTTCGTGAACAACTACAAACCTTTCCATCAAATCGATCTTCCTCCTGTGTATAGTTGCTCCAAGGCATCGCAACTCAAGTTAACATTAGCAACACTTCCAGGACGGAAATTCCGACGCGCCACCTTACGGATTAGTGTACCGGTGTTTGCCATAAAAGGAATTCTTTCAAACTGGCGGAGACGCAACTTGACCTTAATAGGAAAAAATAACCATAATACAAACCTTGGCTTTGTCAACATATTATATAATTATTAACTGCTTTACCAAAGCCCCAAAATTAATTTATATACTCTTCAAAAAAAGAAACTTGACACTGACTTTCAAAATGTAATATAATGCGATTGTTTCAAAATGGGACACAGAAACCATAATTGAAACACTGTTTGAAGATCAATGTACACAATTAATCGTGTCACCTAGACAGACACACGTACACGATACAGTTAATGTCACAGGGATACAGAAAATGTCAGTATCGGTTGTGCCGACCACGTGCATCAATCACCGCTTGACAACGACGACCCATAGATGCAATCAAGTTGTCAATAACACGCTGTTGGATGTGCTGCCATTCATGCTGAAGTGCATCAAGAAGCGCCGGAAGTGTTTGGGGCGGTGGATTCCTTCTGCGAACGCGTCGATCCAACTCGTCCCACAGATGCTCAATCGGGGACAAATCTGATGACCGGGCTGGCCAAGGTAATGTCTGGATGTTGTTGTGCTGTAAGAAGTCCTGACAAACACGTGTAATATGCGGTCAAACGTTCGTCCTGCTGGAACTGTCCGCCATGAACGTTGACGTGAGGAAGAACGTAAGGCTGTAGGATCAAGTCTCTGTAACGCACACCTGTCAATGCACCTGTCACATGCAAGAGAGGCGTCCTACCACCGGGATGAATTCCGGCCCATACCATGACACTCCCGCCGCCAAATGGGACAACCTGCTGCACACAGTTGGGGGCGTAACGTTCACCCCGACGTCTGTAGACACGTGCGCGCCAAACAGCACGTGTGGGTAGGAAACGGGACTCGTCAGTAAACAGTACATTTCTCCACCTTGCACGTGTCCATCTAACCCTCTGTTGGCACCAAAGTAGACGGTCCGCCAGATGACGTGGGGTCAATACATGACGTCGAACAGGTCTTCGTGCAAAAAGTCCAGCCTCCCTCAGTCTGTTGCGTACCGTTTGATCTGATATTTTGCGTACCCCAGGGATCTGTGTGGTTGTAGACGTGGCTGTGGTAGTGCGGTCTCGGAGGTGTCGCAGCCGGATGTATCGATCTTCTGCTTGGGTTGTCACCCTTGGTCTTCCTGACCTTGGTCTGTCGTTAACTCTGTTGGTGTTGTTGTATTGGGTCCACAGTGCGGAGATTGTCTGTCTGGATACGCCAAAGTGCCTGGCCACTTCTTGCTGAGTTGCTCCAGCTTGTAATCTCCCAATGACGTTGTTCCGTTGAGCTGCATTCAGTCTTGGCATTCTGTCACCGCCTCTACTGCCGTTATAAGGACTGTATGAACAGCCATTGATGTGGATTTTTACACCCATTCAGCAGGGGGGCCTGCATGCCTAAATGCAGGATCCTGTGCCGCACGTTTTTCACAGGCGGTTGCGTTTGGATGTAGCTGTAAAATTGATCCCCAAACGCTACGTTTATGTGCTTTGCGTGTGTTTTCGCGAATTATAGACACATCATCTTTCTGTTTGACTTATTTGGTTCTCATTTCCTGTAATTATTTTAGATATTTGGCAAAAATTGGTTTTACATCTATGTCAAGTTTCTTTTTTTGAAGAGTATATAATGTAAGAATGAAACAGCATTTCATTTCAACTTTATATAGAATGGAAAGGAAGACAAAATAAAAAGAATATACCTAGTTAGAAAATATGTTGATACTACAATGTTTATTTACTGACTAAAATTATCATGTATCAAACCATATATTTCTATAAAAAATGCTACTATCTTTCAGGCGTACCCTTGGAAAGACACATTAGACGCTTGGAACAAATATAAATATACGAAAACGATGTCAATGCTATTTGATAAATGTCAATTTCCGGATTTTGTTATCAAAAATTGGTATACAAGGGATATTTGCCATGTAAAGGATTTATGTAACTCAAACGGTTTTATTCCATTAACTGAGCTATAATAATGCATGACATAAAAAGGTACTTTATTAGATATAACCGTTTGCTAAAATCCCTAAGCCATGGAAAGATCGTGTGCATGATGCTAAATATCGAAACTCAATGCAATGGCAAACATGTACATGATTTACTTAAGACAAGCAAAGGTTCAAGAATATTTTATGATACCTTTATTTCATCATCTAATTTTCCAGAATTTTTTGAGAAGTTCGAACGAGTATTAAAAATCAAATAAATTAGAAATATGTATTCTTACAATAAAGAAAATCTACAACAGAAATAAAACTATTAGAATTTCAATTCAAATTCCTACACAAAAATATAAACTCTGAAAAGGAATTGTTAAAGACGACCTTGGTTGTCAGCAACCTATGTGCAATTCAGACAATGAAAACATTGATCACCTACGTTTGGAATGTTCTTAAGTAAAAGAATTCCGGGACGAAGTTAATGCTTTCATAAATGTTATTTTCGGGCGTGTTATTATTACAAAACAAGATATATATTTTCGAGGTACAAACAACTTCTTATCAAATCACTTATTGATATTAGCAAAAATATACATTTACCTAGCACGTGTTAAAGGAAGAAAACCATGTTAAATCTTATGCTGAAAGACATTTACAGTTAGAAGAAACAGAACAATAATTTCATATTTTCTATAAAGTGGAGTTTAATGGAGAAAACTATAAAGCAGCCTCATTGAGTTACTAATCGATATCAACGTGAGTCGGATTCTGAACTTACTGTCATGTTACATGCCGTCTATTTTTCTCATGATATTTACCATGCTCTCATGTTACGATGACAATGAAGACAAGGCTATGTACCTTCTGAGCTGAATAAAAAAAATCATTAAAAACACAAAGGAAAATAAGAAGTCATGAATTTTGCTGATAACTAAGTATCTACTTGTACGCTCGACTCTTTCATTAGCTATTATTGACATGGCCTGACGAAAGTCCTTGTCGATCAGTTATCGAAAATCCTGGAAGTCATATATATATAAGTCCCAAATTTATGCCCTAGTTAGCCAGATCATATTTGTCTTTTGGTTTGTTTTAAGTTTGAGTATTACTGGCAAAACTGGGTGAATAACACTGTGATATCTTAAATTCAGGAACACCTGTATTATGGCAAAGCAAGAGAGCGCGCAGTGAAGGGACCACATGGAAAACTAGGACAATTTCTGAGACATATATTGTTGCCTCTTCAACAACGTTTGCACCAACAATGACAAAAATGGATTCAGTCGCGACTTCATCTATGGCAACCTCTCTGCAAACATTTGTGACACAAACCCCTGTGACATCAAATGGGATGAGTACCACAATACCACTTTCTTCATCTAATCGTTCAACTGTTATGCTGACTATTGCTTCACCAACGTCTAAATCGCCTACCTCTCAAGAAACTATCACTGCAACAGTTTCAACCTCATCGTTTACAACAGACATCTCCAATACAACCCATAATCCAACAACACAAATTGCTTCTGCAACCACAACCTCAACACCATCTACAACTAGTACTTCCACATCCCCACCTACTACCTTTATGACATCGACTACGACACGACAATTGGTTCAGCAAGACCATTTCACTCTCATACCTCTTGGTTTGCTTGCGGGTTTAGGTGGAAGCGAGACGCTATTGGACTTACTCAGGGGGTCTAATCATGATATATCAAACGATAATTCATTCGGAATGAAAATTCCATTACCCCTTTTCATAGCTAAAACGCCGTCCGTCAAAACTACATCCTTAGCCTTAAATCGAACATTGCCATCTTTGTCCACACATAGTAATGCCACGTCTCCATCTGATAATACATCACCTACAAGCAAAACGTCAACGGTCAAGTCACTCATGACCTTAAATCAATCATTTACTATCATGTCTCCAACACAGCCTACCGGTACTAAGACCACACCAACTAATTTACTTCTATCTACCTCAAGTATTGCAACACCTTTAAGCTCAGTTATAACTACTATGACCCCTAGTACACCGATAACTACAAGCACAACACCCATGAGTACAATTACTACATTACGAACATCTACCGCGAATATTACAAGTACAGCACCATCTACACAGAGTTCAATAAAACCTACTACAGGGACGTTGATAACAAGTACGGCCATACCTACAACACCACCTTCATCTACCACTAGCCCACCATCTTTTACAAAAGATGCACCATCTACAACGATGGAAAAGGCAATACGAAAAGAAGGAATCAACAGCCAAATGTATTTTGAAACCACAAACATCTACATACGTAAGTGTTTTATTAAAGCGTTTATGCTTAAAAAGAATACTTTTTTAAAGACACGTATTTTACGTGTAAAACATAAAATAAAACTAAATGATATGGTTAAAGATACATGCATCAAACTGCTGAAATTCAAAAGAACTTTCTACACAATAATGTGTTATTCAGGTAAAATGTTATTATTGAGCATAAATTACTTCTACCAGAACAAGCGTTGTGTGGCTAAAGTACTCACTCCTCACATGAGTATTGTTTGAATATACTGCATGGGGCCAAACACACTACTCACTCATTTATTTTACCCTTTAAAATGTATATGTTTGCTCCGAAATGAGTTATTTTGTAAATGTTGACTCTCGTAGATCCAGAGTGTCTCAGAGTGTCCCCGGATCCAGAGGATCCCACGCAATATTTTGAGAAGGTTGGAACCCTAACCCACCGACGCAGATGCGCTAGAGGTGTAGCCTTTGATCCAATTACATGCACCTGCGCCTTAAAGTTTATAGTCGGATTTACACGTAAGTATCACAGTGTCTGTTTAGATTGATTGCTAATGAACTGGTGCTATAGGTCAAATGACTAAAGTCACACATAACTTCGTCACTAAAGAAGTATGCAACTTGCGGTTTTAAACTTGTAATGCATTTTGCCTTGTTATACCGAAGTGGTGTCTAGAAGCATGCAATTTCTGCTTTAAAGATGTGCATTCAAATATTGGACGTGTGCTTTTCAAAACCATAAAGGCTCTATGATGAAACGGGTTGAGGTACGAGACCCGAAGTATGAGTAGTATACACAATGGGGTTAGGACGCCATCCCCGTCCTCGACCAGGTCAGGACCATGAAAATGTTCCCACGTAGGACTTTAATCGAATTATGTCAAAGGAAAGTGAAGAAAGCTACATTTGATATTCATCTTCAACAGATATATTGCAAACAGCACACATATGTAAATATGATTCAATAGACTGCCACCTCCCCCCTCCCCCCTCCTCCCCCTCTCGTTCAGACGCAAAGGTAGAACATTACATCTTTAATTTATAATGACTTTGCATACATGTTTGCCATTGTAACTACGCAAATTACTTTCAGGTTCAATTACAGTTTTATATTCTTTATACATCACACATCGACTGCTATTGTTGAGTGTTGACATCCAGTTTTGACGAAATTCATCTATAAGAGACGTTTTAAATACACCCCCCCCCCCAAAAAACAAAAAACAAAAAAAACCAACAAAAACCAACAAACTATATTGTCCCAAACATGCTGATGTAGCCATACAAATCCCAAACCATGCGAAAATAAAATGTCACGATCATGTGTTACACAAGCAATATTAACAATGTTGTCGAAATATACTCTTGAAATAAAGAAACGCAATACGGATATTTTTGGCTCTAAGAGCAAACTTATAGGCCCAAGAGTTGCAAAATGAAGAGATTTAATATGTAATAGTGTCAGTGACAATTTAACAGGATCAAACGATCACAAAAAGGACATGCAAACCATAAGTCGGGAAACACGTTCGAATCGGAAAAACGCAGCCAGTGCATTAACAAAAGGGTCATGGAGCTGCACGTCCTGCACGCGCAGCAGCACTATGAACGGTATTAAAGTGCAGGGTTTCTCATTGCCTCTCATCTGCGTCAATCGAACAGTGACAGTTCAACAACATGCCAAGATTAACAGAAGTGCAAAGAAACAACGTCATAGGCCGCTTGCAGCCAGGGTTTTCAATGTTGCGCCCTGCACCATCACAAGGCTATGGGATCGGTTTCAACAGCATGGGTAAACCCGTGATCGGCCAAGGTCGGAACGACCAAGTGTAACCAGGCCCCGCCCGAGATCGCAACATCCGACTGCGCCTCCTACGTCAACGGACGGCCACAGCCACCTCAACAGCATCCCAAATACCCGGACTGCGCAAAATCTCCGACCAGACCGTACGGAACCGTTTAAGAGCAGCAGGTCTACGGGCAAAACGTCCTGTTCGGCGCGTCATATTGAGTTGGGAACATCGCAATAACGACTGCATTGGCGTACAGGAAGTGGACAGATTTGGTGGGGGTAGCGTTATGATGTTGGCGGGTATCTCTTATCATGGCAGGACAGGTTTGGTCCCTATCCATGGCAATCTTACGGCTCAACGATACATCAACGGAATTCTCCTACCACACGTCCTCCCAATTGCAGCCAACGGCAACGGTGTATTCCAGCAGGATAACGCTAGACCGCACAAATCACGGATCGCAAGAGCCTGTCCACCAAACAACGTTGATGTTCTCCTCTGGCCCTCCAGATCCCCGGATTTGAACCCGATAGAGCACCTATGGGATGAATTTGATAGACGACTACGTCGACGTCAGCCACAACCCCAGGCGTTGCAACAGTTGGCTTTTGGGTTGCAGGCCGAGTGGGCTACTATTACCCGGGATGTGATACGCATACTCGTCTCTTCAATTGGCAGGAGATGTCAGGCTGCTATCGATTCCAGCGGGGGACATACGCGTTATTGATGGTAGCTTACCTTCCTATGTACCGATAACTGAGATGACTACAATCACCAAGTGTTCTCTCCACAACATTTTGGCTCAATACCTTATACGGTTCCTCGTACAAACATATTTTCCTACCTCACACAAATCTGGCTGTGCGTTTTTGTTTTTTTTAGAGTACATAAAGCAGGACATGCTTGACTGTGTTAATTTTTCCATAACAATGGATAGATATTTCAATCATCATCAATTAAGGATCTTTCTAATACAAGCAATTCTCATTTAATTATGAGAATTTGTTTTAAGGAAATTGAACTTATCGATAAATGTTGATTTGTGTAGATAGCCTTATTATATATTAGTAATGTATGGTTTGTAACTTAGATGGTTAGTGGCTGTATCCTCAAAGGGGGTTGAAGTAGCTTAAATTTATTGTTCCCCACCATGAGAGGATATGTAAGACCACATCATTTAAAGTTCATTTATTCATACCTCAGGTTTAAACGTAGTATATTTGTTCATTTAAACTTATGGCTTAATTGTGTACCATCATCAACAGCTGAAGGGATGGTGTAAATCCTGCTAGTTATTTTACTATCCATCCATGACAGGTTTTTTAAAATCTAATTTTATGTTTCTTAATGTATAACTTATATAACCATATGGCTGAAATATTGCCGATGTAACGTTAAATATGAACTCAGTTTCGATTTTACATTTCTGCAAAAGGCTGTCTTTGATTATTTGTCAGATCGTTTGAGATGCCAATGTTCTCTTGACGAAATGATGCCAGTGACTGAGAGCCTGGATATTGTTATCAGAACGATAAGAGGACGGGACTTACTTTCAGTCCCAGTTCTTTTCGATCCTATTCAGTGTGCTCTCACTCGATTTCGATTTTGCCAATTTATTCGACACGTGTGGGCTGAGGAGAGTAAGTACGGAATCTTTACAATCTTCATCTGGTGTTTCAGTGTTCCAGTGAGTGAGTGAGTCAAACGTTAACGTCACATCGGCATTATTTCAGCCACATAGCGACGAGAACAAGTTGATAATTTCACAAATGAATCATTTTATCAAACATACATAACAATATCATTAATAGAGTTTAAAACACGGGCTGTAGGCCACCATAACCAAAGCTAGGCCATCTCGCTGGGGATCATGTGGACTTACGTGTACCTCGGCTTCCTGCATGATACCCCAGCAGGACTTATGTCATCACTAAAGCCACTGGTGGTTGTGCACAATGCCAGCCAATATGAAAATATACTCAGCAATGAGTTGGCTTAAAAACACCGGTTGATGATAGTTGCATCCATTATAATAGGATTACGTGTAAATAACTTTACGGTACGAGACAGGGCCTTCAATAATGCCAGTTGTTTAAAATCATCACACCCAATGTTAAATGAGTGAGTGAGTTGAGATTTATAGTCACATCGGCAGTATTTCAGCCATATCGTGACTAACAAATGTTAAACATAATATATACATTTCAACAATAAAAGCCTATCAATAAAGGACAATAAAATAACTAAAATATCACAGGTTATTCTTCTAAACTTGTACACAACCATTAAAAGATTTCAATACATGTAACGATACAAAATATAAAAGGCTATAGAACGCCAGCAACTGAAGGTTTATCACCTCACTAGGAAATATGGGAACTTTTGCTTACCTGCATGGACCCTTACATGACTTACATCATTCCGTCAGGTGTTGGCGATTAGTGACAGATTTAGCCGAATTAAAAGAACACATATCAAGCAGGACTTGTGATTTTCTCATCACAAGGATACAAAATGGAGGATCCTCACCTTTCAATGAATATTCATGTGTATATCTCCGATGGCCAGTGCGACATCGTCGCATTATGACCTCTTCAAATCTGGACTGACTAAAGTAGATGTAACCGATAGTTGGTTTAATTTCCTGTCACTTATTGATAACTACTTGGTGTCTCACCTTTTTTGCATCAGATCTCGGATGTAACATATGATGAGAGGTTTGCTATCGCTGTTTGGGATAAGACGTGGTGTCACAGATTTGTTGAGTGCTGCCTCAGCAGCAGCATCGGCCATTGTGTTCCCAGTGATTCCAACGTGGCTCGGTACAGCATGTTATTAGAGTGAGTTAATATTTAAAGTCACATCGGCAATATTTCAGCCATATCGTGACTTGAACAAGGTATAGCATATATAAAAACTGTCGTCAAAGGACAGTACAACAACTAGCAATATATCACAGATTATTATTTAAAACTAGTTTTAGATCAATAAAATTATTGGATTACGACAGACGACACATTCTAAAAACAGGCTATTAATCACCAACAACTAAAGTTAGGCCACCATACTAGGGACCATGGGGACTAACAGTACCTTTGCTACCTTCATGGTTCCCAAGCAGGATTTACACCATTCCTTTAGTCATTGGCGAATGTTGGCGAGGTTAGCCGAAAATAAAAATATACAAATATTCTGCGTTTAAAAACAGTGATAGCTAAATTACTTTGAATGAAGTGGTCTTACATATCCTCTCAGGGGGACAATAATTTTACACTACTTTAACCCCCTTCGAGGATATAGCCACTTACAATCTCATTTAAGTATTCATACTATCAATAGTAAAAGTTATTTATTTATTTACAATACATAGTCAATTCAATTTCCTTTACAAAACCAGGTATAAAATGAGGACTTATCTGATTAAAAAGATCCGTAATGGATGATACTTTGAAATACTTTTCCCTTGTGTTTGAAAAATCAATACAGTCAAGCAGGACATGCTTGACCGTGATTCTTTCATCACAAGGGATACAGAACGGAGGATCTTCACCTTTTAAAAGATACTCATGTGTATATCTCGAGTGGCCAATACGACATCACCGCAAAATGACCTCTTCAAATCTGGACTGACAATCCAAGTAGGTGTAGCCAATAGTTGGTTTAATTTCATGCAATTTATTTACACCTGCTTGGGTGTCCCACTTCTTTTTCATGAGATCACTGATA